ATCCTGTGTTGTTTCAAGATTCTTCGGATTTCTTCTGTTGTGCCATGACGGTATGGTAAAACTGCAGTACCAATCCATGGTATTTCATTCGAATCATTATTATAACGTAATGAACTGTTTTGTTTTAATATGCTTCTAATAATCTTCAAAGGAAAATTATTAAATTGTAAGATATTAATTATATTCATTTGTTCTTTTTGTTTGTCTTCCTTTGATGTGATGATCTTGTTAGCTCTTCTAAAAAGACTTAAGGCTAGCGAGATCTTAGCACTGAAAGGATGTGCTGAATGGAAGTCAATGTAACGATTTGAGTGCGTCGGTTTAGACTTCCATTTGGATTTCTTTTTACTAAGCAATCCAAGAACGGTAGCTCACCATGTACACTTTCATTTTCATTCGTGAATTTGATGTGCGATGAAAGTGTATTTATTCGTTTTGAAAAAGATCTTAGATGAGTCTTTTTTATAACAACAAATGTATCGTCTACATATCTAAGCCAAATTCGTGGTATAATGTTGTGGGCGAAAATATTTGATTCTATGTATGCCATAAAAAGGTTGGCTACAATCGGGGATACAGGGGATCCCATTGCTACACCGTTAGTTTGTTTGAATAACATACCGTTAAAAGTAAATAGCGTTGAATTTAAGCAGAGTTTTAATGATTTCATGATTAGGCTGATGCTCAACGGACATCCGTCAGGAAGAGTATTGTCGTTCTCAAGTAAACCACTAATGAATTCTAAGCATTTATCAATGGGAACACTTGTGTATAAAGAAACGACATCAAAGCTTACCATAATTTCATTCTTCTCGATGATTAATCCGGATAATTTTGATTTAAAGTCATATGTGTCTTTAATTATATTATGTAAGTTGAGTTGTAGTGGTTTTAGTATATTGCTTAAATATTTCGATAATGCATATGTTGGGGTGTTTGTGAAGTCTACTATCGGTCTTAGAGGAATATCTGGTTTATGAATTTTTGGTAAGCCATAAAACCGTGAGACATTACATGATTTGGGATGCAAAGCAAACCAAAGCGAGATTCCAATGATTGGTTTTAGCTCGTTTAGAAATTGACTTGTTTCTAATTTGACTTTATTCTTAATCGTTAGAGAAGTTTTTGGATTGATCTTTTCAGAAAGTCCTGTTGAGAGATGTTCAAGAGCTTTATTAATATAATCTGTTTTATTCATGATTACTGTTGTGTTGCCCTTGATATGATAATCGTTTTGTCTTTTTTAAGTGAATGCAGAGCCTTCAATTCTTCTTTTGAAATGTTAGGTGTAATGTGTTTTTGTTTAGTCAGAATATGGGATGTCTTATGACGAAGTAAATGCGACTCTTTTTCCGGTAGTTGTGCGATTATTGGTTCTATAATAGGGGCAATTTCAATAGTGCTAAGTGGTTTTCTATGTAAATTGAAATTTAGTCCTTTCTCCAGTAGAGTGATTTCGTGACTGTTTAAGTTTCTGTTCGAGAGATTATGAACAGTTCTTGTTAGATCATTCGAATTAGATTTTCTTGTTGATGTTTTCTTATCTTTCTTCTTTTCTTTGATGTTTTCGAATTTTTTAATTTGTCGGAGTTTCGATGAATTTATTCGAAATTATCAAATCAAACCTTGGTAATGATACCTACAAACTCATTAATAACCGGATCAAATTATCAGAAAATCTAATTTTCTACTCATTGGGATATTGCAAATATATTATTTATTTATAAATACAAATAATAATTATGCAAGTCGTAAATTATAAATTAAGACCATCGTGAATTTCCTCGAATATAATAAATTATATTATTAATATTGACGAAACGACGTAACTTTTAAGTTATTAAACAAAGTGTAATATTTATCTTAATAACTTTTCCAAAATAAGAAAAGTTGAAGTGAATGAACAGGACTTGTATTATACTACTAGAATGTAATAACTAGCACTACTGAATGGTTGATCCGTTTAAAGTAACTAAAATAATTATAGTGAAAGTTCCCAATTTGACATTTGGTAAATAAAAAATGAACGAATTGATCGAAAAAATTTCTTTTCAATTAGTTTTTCTGCACTAATATATATATATATTAGTGTAGATTCATGATGAAAAGCTAATTGACAAAAAAATTTCTTTGGTCTTCCTCTCCTCCTTCGACCTTCAGGATTCCATGTGAGGGCTTGTCTTGTGACGCAGTTCGGTGCTTTCCTCAATGTGTGTCCTATCCACTTCCAGCGCTTCTTCCTCCACTGGGATCTGATTTGTTCTCTCCCACAGTAGGTTGTTGCTAATAGTGTCCGGCCAGCGGATCTGAAGTATTTTGCGTAGACAACTGTTAATAAACACCTGTATCTTTTGGATGATGGATTTCGTAGTTTCCCAGGTTTCCGCTCCATACAGTAGAACTGTCTTGACATTTGTATTGAAAATTCTGACTTTGGTGTTGGTTGCTAATTATTTTGAGTTCCAGATATTCTTCAGTTGTAAATATGCTGCTCTTGTTTTGTTAATCCGTGCCTTCACATCTGCATCAGATCCACCGTGTTCATCGATGATACTGCCCAAATATGTAAAGGCTTTTACATCTTCCAAAGCTTCTCCGTCAATTGTGATTGGATTGGTACATGCTGTGTTGTATCGAAGAATCTTGCTTTTCCCTTTGTGTATATTGAGACCTATTGCTGCTGAGGCTGCAGCTACACTAGTTGTCTTCTCCTGCATTTGTTACTACAGACCACTGATATCATCAAATGATTACTTAGCTTAATTAAAACAAATTTAATATGTATTTAAGTACACATTTGTATACTCATCGCATTAATTGTATTGTTTCCAAAAACATATTGATTCTTATGATGTTGTGTTTTTCATTTTCATAAAATCTTATATGAAACAAAAAAGAATACAAAGTGATTACGATATAAGTAATAGTAAACACTGTTACACAAATTTTATCTATATACTTTAATGTCATTAACTGTTTTGTAAAAGTATACTTTAGAATTCATACATGTTTTGAAATGTAATGCTAATCATGATATCTGATTGGTTAGGTTAATATAATTTAGATCTAATTCCTCATGACAATGGTTTATTTTGTTGTATGGATTATTATATTATAAAGCATTAATTAGGTATAATGAAACTGTCGTTCAGTTACATGCACAGTTGTGGTGCGTGCTACTTAGTATATAACGCGAGAATAGAAAGCAATTAGTATGAAAATGCAAGAACAATGAAGTCTGAGACAATTATTGGACATTTTGCAAATTAAGCATTATAGTATGGTTTTTCTATTTTATCAAGTAACTGCAATTACTTGTATAATCTACCTATTTGTATAATTTAAAACTAGAGTAATTAACGTCTGACGGTTGAGTTCCTGGTTCAAGATCTGAAGAGGTTGTGAGCGTTCTGTTGAGAAGTCGTATACTCGAGAATAGGAGCTGTTTATCGCTATCCAGACTCAGAGGTGACACAACTGAGATCAGTCCAAGACGATGATGTTCCACTTATTGGTTAATTAACAAACCTGACCTCGAATAAACTATCTGAAAGACACATGGTTCATAAAGTTCGTTAAAGTGATTTCTACAATATTTCATCCCAGTATTAATTGCGTCACTAAAATCCGATCTATTCACACGTTCATCGATTAATCGATCGGATAAGTGAAAATCACAATCACGTGGATATAGCGATAGATAAAACAATTAGGTAATTAGTAATTTAAGGCTCGAAAAAACTTTATTTTCTGATTAACTGTAAACAATTTAAAGGAAATCTCACTGAAAACTTTAAGAAACGTTTTAAACATTTCTTTACTTACTAAAACTATTTGTTTAATTATATAAACGTGAATTGCAGAATGACTACAACGAGTCTTTACTGCTGACCAATGTTTTATTGCAAACTACAGATTCCTAAATCAGGATGAAAATGACAATAAGATTTATACCTTAGATCTCGAGTTTTAATATTATATCATACTTTGATACTTCAAAAATTGCCCTAGTATGGCCAAGGGTGGGGAAAGTCATCTCGTCCTTTCGAAATGCACTCACATGGCCACGTGCATACAACCACTGCCAGGGAAGTCCTACTCACTGCATTATCGTGGTACGGGTGTTGTCTAAAAAATTCAGAACGAAAAGCAAATGTCCGGCACTTCAACACGGTTGGTGAACACGGAGAGTCCACCCAGAGGAGTAGGAAAATCCTGATTCCCAATCAATGGTGCACATGGGCTCCAGTACAAAGAAGAAACAAATGACCTATGAACAAACTGTTGGTCACAGGCTACCATGTAACTGCGTCTTAAGACGTTGCTTCACTGCCTTGTGGATTAGACCTACAGGTCGAAGGCTTCGGGTGTGGCTCCCTAGGAAGACCACCTGGTTCGGTTTGGGCACCTGGGCAGTATTACAACACACACAGAGATCGAATGACTTGTGTGGCACATATGCATTCCGTGCCCCCTTGTACCAATATTTATGTGTTTAAATAAATAAATAAACTTCAAAAATTCACTTTCTTCAACCTTTTCTACTACTCCTGATACTATTACTATTTCTACTATACCAGCATTTATCTTAATAATTTCATTTCACCATTTTAATAAAGTGTGACAACATGAAAAAATGAATATATGCACCGAATTCTACGTTGCTTACGAAGATAACCAGTGTTTAATTGATAGAAAAAATCATTGTATGCTTCAAATCTTAAAATAAAATGATTCCTTGACCTAACACATAAATACAATGACCAAATGAGTAAAAAAACATCGAAAAAAACCTGTTAAAGTAAAAAATGATTCTGTAGCATAAATTCTTTTTTAAAAAAGATGAAAGACTAATGATAATGTAAAGTTATCGAAATGTTGTATGATTGAGGTTGTCAAGATGTTTTATCATCACCCTTACTGATTTATTTTCAGGGTAAATAGATAATAACATCATATACTATATTAGTTTTTAAAAAGGAAATTTCATAAATATTTCTTTATGTATCTTGACGTAAAATAGAAGAATGAAATATGTCAATAGTTGTTGCAGAACATGTCCGAAAGTCATAGTCATGTACACCGAGACCACAAAATTTATGTTCAGGCCGACGTATATAATCCAACCCACGACCAATTTTAACAATCCATCCACTATCAAATCTATTTGTCAAAACAGGAAAAAAAAATAAAACGAAAATAATTTCAATAAAACACAAATCAGTCAGCTGCAACGTAGGACCAGGCACGTATATGCATCGGTCCAAGTTGCCACACCGCATTAGCACAACAAGATGAACACCGGATTCATAGAAGTAGTTAATTCAGTGGTGGTAATATATAGAAGAAAGAGTGTGTATAAGGAGATAGTACAGGAAGATAGAATTAGTTCGTAGAAAGAAAGATTTGAAGTGATTTTAATTTCTTAGTTTAAAGGAAGACAGAGAGTGTATACACCGACGCCATTGTGATCGATTCTGAGCCATGTCACCAAGAGTCTCCAACCATTGGTTACGATAGTCACGCGGACCCCAACCAATTAGTATGCATCTACCAACATGGCTAAGACCAGAAGTTAGTGACTTCAAGCACTGATGCCACGCTTTGGTTTGGCCGCCCCTAACTTTCTTCCGGTCATCCCTAACACCGGTTAGCATTGCGCGTCGTGGTAATCGGTGTTCAGGCATATACAACCATCTCAGTCAATGAAGATTGACAACCTCATCAACTGATTTACCATCATTCCCTAATACCCTGCGTCTAACCTCACTATTTTTTACCCCGGTGATCCCAGCAGATGCGAGCAATATTTCTAAAACATCGGTGATCAAATACTAGTAACTTACGAGTATCTTCTACTCTTAAAGGCCATGTTTCGCAGCCGTATAGTAGAACGGAACGAACTGCTGCGCAGTATACTCGTCCCTTAATTGATAGACGGATATTTCGCCTTTGCCATAAGTGACGTAAGTTGGCGAAAGTCAAACGAGCTTTTCGAATCCGTGCTGAGATTTCGTCAGACACCAACCCATTAGGGCTGATCAGACTTCCAAGATAAATGAAGTTGTCGACGCGTTCGACTACTTCACCCCCTACCCTTAGTTCAGGTGTTGATGCAGACCAGTCCTGAAGCAACAACTTGCATTTGGAGGGAGAGAAGCGCATCCCAAACATTCTGGCATTGTTGCTCAGTGCTACCAAAAGACTGCATTTCATCAGCGTCTTCGCCAAACAGGACTATGTCATCTGCGTATTCTAAGTCAATAAGTGGACCTCCTGGTAGGAGACCGATCTCCGAGAATTCAGTCGATGAGAGCGTTATTTCCATCAGTAGATCTATGATGAAGTTGAACAAAAATGGAGAAAGTGGACAGCCTTGACGGACACCACTTGAGGTTGCGAAAGCAGATGACAGTTCGCCATAAGCTCTGACTCGACTAGTAGTGTTCGAGTAAAGAGCTTTCACAAGGTTTATGTACTTCTGAGGTACACCTTTCAATGACAGACACTGCCACAGAACCTCTCGGTCAACAGAGTCAAACGCTGCTTTTAAATCAAGGAAGACCATTATTGTCGGACGCCGATAAGTATGCCTGTGTTCTAGAACCTGACGAATGGTGAATATGTGGTCGATGCAGCCACGACCAGGTCTGAAGCCAGCCTGATTTTCACGTGTTTGCAACTCACGAGTCTTAGTTAGGCGTCCGATAATTATCGAGGCTAGTATTTTAGATACTATATTAGTTAAACTAATCCCTCTATGGTTGTCACAGGATGATTTTGACCCTTTCTTAAATATTGGGACGATAAGTGATTGTGACCAGTTAGATGGGATAACGTCTAACTCCCAGATTTTAGCTAAAATATTAGTCAACCTAGTCGCTAAAACTAGACCACCATCCTTAAAGACCTCTGGGGCCAATCCATCTGGACCAGCTGCTCTTCCTCGTTTCAGATTAGCTATAGCCTTTTGAACTTCAGTTAGAGTTGGGGGGCCTTCTTCAATGTTCCATTCACACTGTCTGGGAATAGAGGGTAGTTGTAGAGTAGCTGAAGGCCAACTGAACTGCTCCTTAAAATGTTCCGCCCATCGTTCTAAACGTCTGGACTGGGAGCAGATGAGAGTGTCGTCTTTTTCCGAAATAGTCTGACTTACACTTGATTTATTAATTCCAGTTTCTTTTATTAGTCTGTAGAGCTGTCTTGTGTTCCCTATAGCCGCCGCCTTTTCCATCTCTTTTGCTTTCGTTGCCCACCACTGCTTACGACCGTTCCTTAGACTTTTGCTCAATCTAGATCTGATTTCTTTACGCTCTTCATCGTGTTCAGAACCTGATGGGATGAGTTTGCGAGAATCTATCAGTGCAATAGACCTTGAAGAAATCCATTGGTTCTTTGTAACACTGGTAGATGTCACTGCTATTTCCACCGCTGCTTGTATGTCTTTCCAATCAACATCGGGGTCAGCCTCGTTTTCAGAACTACCTAAGTGTGACCTCAGTTGTTCCTGGAACCTACTTTTGGCTTTATCATTACTCAATTCGATTCTAATGAGTCTTTTTTGTGTGGCTCTTTTGCGTCCAGTGAGGCGCAAGCAGATGCGTGCTCGTACTAGGGCATGGTCGGAGTCCAAGCAGGTACTCCAGAATGAGCGACAATCTTCTATCAACCCTCTCCAACGATGACTGATGGCAATATGATATATTACAGTCCATCGTTGGTTTGGTGCAGGGGGTCGCCATGTTAGACGATGTCTCTCCTTATGCTTAAAATTTGTGTTTGCTAAAAATAAACGATTGTCTGAGCACAGTTGCAGCAGACGATCACCATTATCTGTTCTCTGTGCCGGAATACTAAAATACCCACCTAAATGTCTTTCTGTTTCGTTTAAGCTACATACCTACACAAATAGGCGATCATGAATAAAGTGAATAATTTTTTCTGGAATTTGTTTAAATACTAAGTTATAGTGACAACGTAAGCATGAATGTGGATTGATCGAAGCTATCACATCTAGAAAAAAAAGGTTTACAAGATGAATCTAGATCAGATTGATTAGATATAGCTTTAGGTTGGTCTATTTTTTTATGTGATCAGCAGTGGAACCTAGGATGCGCACACATAGTCTTATCTGAGACTTTTCAGGTGGATATATCTCCAACTTTGTGTTGTTATTTATACTGAGACTTGAACCTAGTAGCTGATCACTTGTAACTTTGAATATCAACAATAAGAAATTATCTATTCTTTTCTTACATTTTAATAAACTATGAGATATTTTATGAGTTATGTTTAGACTACACAATAACACCGAACTATTGAAATATCTGATCATTAGTAGATTTTAAACAAAATAGTAAATGTGTCACTATTTTGTAAGACTAAACAATGTCCATGAAAATGTTAGAGATACCTCCAAAACACCGAAATTCATGATTATTACAATCATTATTGCTTTTATTCGGTATCCTTATGCACTACTCATAAAAAGCATGCATAGTTGACCACTCTTTTCATATGTTGTTTTTTCCCAGGGTAATATGTAAGTATTTTACGTACAAATGATGTATTTTATATTTCAGTGAATTTTGTTTCGACGGAAAGGTTCTTCTACAAAGTCTAGGGCCTTCTATCATTTTGCTTGCCTTTAATCGTTTTGTTAACATTAAAGTTATATTGTGTATTATTCATTCGATTCATTCGTTCACGTTAAATACTTCCTCGTATTAGTACTAAATATAAAACACAACAGAGAAAAATACTCAAAAAAAACCAAAACATATCACTGAACTCTGATTTTTCTATAAATCAATAAATTATATGAATAGTGATAGGATATTTGCCCATGAGTTTGTAGCTCTTTTTAATATTTAATGTGTGTGTGACATCAAGTATTTTTCCGTTCATTTAATAGGTGAATGGTGCATATAAAGGTATAATTTTAACCCAGGATTTTAATTCAAGCTCCAACTTTCACTTTATTTGTTTTATTCATCTGTCAAGTTGGGAGGTGTTACAGCGAGACATTCGTAGAAGACATCTAGATAGTTTCAGATCATTAAAATGAATTCCTTAGTGAAAACTATACTCTCATATATAGCGCTAATAGACTAAATGAACAGAAAGATGCTCAAAAATTCTAGATATCGTACTTATATTGAACAATGGAAAAGGATGGTCAACCTCACGACATATGAATACACTAATCTTTTTGAATTGACCATAATGTTGGGAGATGACTGGTTAAAAGTATTTTTTTTAAATAAAGCCAAGCAATTGCAATCCGAAACTATCAAAAGGAAACAACAATCAACTTTGTATATAACTAATCATTAACTAACCGTATCTCTCGATCATGTAAGGTATCCGAGAATGTCCACTCAAAAGTAACTGAATGCTTTTCTAAATCACCCTTTAACATTTTAAACTTTTCTATTTGTTCATCTGGATGCTAAAACAGTAATAATAAATAAATAATAATAGAATAGGATTTATTTGTCCAATAATAATAAGGTATACAGAAAAGGGATAAATTACATTCATATAGAAAACTGCATAGTTGGTTGTTATCAGTAGCTTACTAAAAGTATCGCTGAATGACAGCATCCAACCTTTTATTCTCTAGAAACTAGTTTAACTCTATACAAGGAGTAAACCAGAATATTATCAACGCACTAAATAACACGGAAATAATTAATTTATTCCATCCACAGACACTAGTTATGGGAACAGGAGTAGCTTGAAAGAAAGCCGTGGACGATATAGCATCAATCCATGTATTTGATAAATGTTGACATGAGCCGCTTTAGTAGGTGGAGACAATGTGGTTAAAGCTTGCATAATAACAGCGACAAGTAGTTGGAGACGCTGAATGATATGATTAAGAATCTTTTCCAGTGGCACATCTGCATTTACTGTTTATCTTTTCTTTAGATTCTGAATTTCGATATTTCTTCATACATACCTTTTCAAAGTATTTTCTCCATCCTCAGTCTTTCCCATTATCATTACTACTCCTCGTTAATTTCATTTCATCGTACTGATTCCGTAGAAAAACTTGAATCAGAGCACATCTGCGTCATGCTTTAGGTTGATTATAGCTAACAGACACTTCGAGGCAAAAAGTCTCGGTGAACGTAAATTATTTTGAAATCTTTAGCAAAGGTAAATACTATGATTTAGAAACAATGTGGAATAATTTATATTTGAGGTACTGAAATACTTATAATACACTAATTTACATTGGAAAGTTGTTTCAATTTAATTGGCTTGATTCCCAATTTAATATTAACTAAAATACAAAAACGTTGTGTCCCACATTGTGAAATTAACTAAATGATGAAGTTGTGAAATTATTGTCATTTTCCGTCAACAGGTTACTAGAATTGACGACCGCTTCACTCATGATTTGCGTAAACAGACAGTATAGCTATCCTTCAGAAAATTACAACAGCCTATTATACGAAAATGAACAGACTAAGTTATGTACGCTACAAATAGATGCTAATTTATAGAGTGTTAACGGTAATTTTGATAGACAAAATAAAAAGCTAACTTCTTATCCATTTATTTATAAACGATTAATATGTGAGTAAAACTAATATTAACTAGCTACCAACTGATATGTTTAGCAAATATATGTATATGATAAAAAAATGACAGTAAATGGAGAAATACTGAGTTGACTGAATATTTATGAAGGACATTGGTAGTAATTTCACAGTGTTAATCTTCTTTTGCTGTACTGATGAGAAGTGACGTTGACTGACGACATTACTTTTCCCACGTTGTTTACGTTTACAGATTTTCAATAGTAACAGCTGTGTATATATATATTTGAATGATTTAACCACTACTAGATAGAATATTTGATTCCTGCTTAATCTACTTCAATCCCTAACTCTTACAAATGTGTAAGATTCAATGCTTGTTAAACTAATCTGTACTTGCCATTTAATTGCACTAACTTGTCAAACCGAAGTGTAATCAGTAGTAGTAATAATAAGATATTACCGATGAGGGGCCTATTATACTATAACACAGGTAGATCGGTGCGGAAGTATGACAGGTCCTGATAACATGATAAACCGAATAAGTCACGTATTTCTACAGGGCCATAAAAATCACAAGTGTGAGAAGAATAACATAAAGTTAGTGATGAGACGTCTGAAGCCATATAAGCCTCGCCATTCCCTTCATCGATTAATTTCAATCATATTTTGAGTTGCAAATTATTTCTGATCCATGTCTAAGAATTTGAAAAGATACACTCCATAGTGGTAGAAAATAAATATATTACGAAAATCGATTTTTGTCTGGGATTAAATGGATTAATGGTGGACAAATTAACAAACCTGGGCATCTTCTCCGGTGGTCAAATAAATATTTTTTACCTTCGACACTGATTGAACGATGACTTCACAAAAGTGAGAAAAATTCTCAATCTAAATGAAAACAGTTTTGCATTAATGAAAAAGTTTGGTTAACTTGATAACTATTTCTGATATACGGATCTTCCACCCAAACTTTGCTAACTGTACCATCTTCAAGAAATCTTCCAAAAACCTTCTTGTAACTGTAACCAGTAGCACCTTCCTCTATAACAACTTGTTCGTGATAATTTCCATCTAATATGAAAATAAGGTGAAATAGTTTTTTTTTAATTTAACTGACTTTCCGATTCCTTTTTAAGTTTTTCCTTAAGTTTTTCTGCATGTGTTATATACTCTGAAACTTTTAGTCTGAATCTGTCTTTGAATTCTGGTTCTAAAAACAAGAATTTAGCGGTATAAACAAATATATATTACGTGTATTATCAGGAATAGAACGAAGAGCTTTGATGAATAAACCAATACTTTCTTCATAGCATGTCAAACTTTCAGTAAATTTTAATTGTTTCTCAAGTTCTATGGCTCGAAGCATAACAATTGAGCCCGCTTCTATCAGGGAATTTGAAGTCATCGTAAATAACTTTTGCAGGTAGATTTTTCAACAAGTTGGCTGTTTTTTGGAATGATGATTTCAAAAAAAGATCAAAATTTATCATTGATTTTATCGAAGATAAACCATCTAGTTCATTATGATTATTATAAGAGAGCAACTGTTTTACAAGACATAAGATTGATATTTTTTGGATAAACACGAGTTTACAGTCGAGGTCCGAAATTGAGTTGAACAGTTCCTTTCCGGCATATGAAACAACTAGAAGCCATACCAATTGCAGCCCCGATATAAGTTGCAAGATAAACTAGTAAACTATAATGGCGATTCTCCTACCGAAATAGCCTATACTATTATTATGGAAGTTTTTGATGATCTGGTAATACGAAATTTCCGTCTGTTAAAATTGACATACAGAATGTCAATTAATAAATGAACGCGATGGTATGATGAAGCTAAGTGAGGGTTGGCCACAAGACCGTACTACTGACCTAAGCCCTCGAACGATTAGAAATCAAAAACAAGACTACACGCTAGATGATATGGGTTTTGTATCATAAAATGACACGCTTATACACAAAATAAGCATGACAAAATGTCATAGGGAATCGGAGGAAACTAGCTTATGGGTCACTCATTCTCTAGTCAGTTATGACTTAACTGCTGGACCTAGTCTTTGGGCATCGTATTACCTCCCTCACAAAATGATGCGGTATCCTTCTGTGGCAACACTAGTGAGGTGTTAATTTTAGTTTGTTTCACATAATCTTAGATTTTATTGCAAATCATGTTTTTGGGTTTTTAACCGAGTAAGACTGGCTTACTGACATAAAATATCAAACACTTCGTTTCACCTTGAGTAGTGTTCAGATTATGACTAATGTAGGAATGTTTTGATAATTTCTGTACGGGACTGGATCAATTGAACGCATATTGATCTCCACTCATTGCCCACTGATATATTGTACGATTTTTTTTGTTAATGTACAAAACTATATTAAGTGATGAATTGCTAAGATAAAAATCGCTATCGGAAGTCTTCATGAGTTGCAGATTGAGAACAACTCGACACCTGATGTTACCGAAAATGATTAATAGTACAAAAATGGTCCCACTAAAAGCTTTAACATTCAAAATCATGTGTTTTTCCGAGATTATAGACCGAGGAAAGACAAATGAATAAAGAGGAATGTGAAACGAAGGTTATGACAAGTATTGTATGAGGTAGTGGTTGGAAAACATAACGAGATAGCAATCAGTAACGAAGACGTATATCACCCAACATACGATAGCAACAAACAACACCGTTGTGAATACTAATATACGTTTACAGAATACTACAACATCTGAACGACACACTAGAAGAAAAACAGGTGATACCTCCAAAACGAGTAGACCTACATCCCAAAAGATGGCCGAAAAGACGTCGACGGCAGAATATTCAGTTTCAAGTGAATTTGAGAGGGTTGCGCAATTAAAAGGCGAGGTGTTGAAAATATAGAATTCCTAAATACAAATTACGAGGAAGGAGACCAATATCGATTGGAAATGAATTTTTGTTACATTAATTTATTCAGTCCGAATTTTATTCATGAACTTTTGATCCATTTTTCACTATGATTTGTTTCAATTAAAAACTACTCATTACTAAACTATAATCACTGTAATTGACATATAACTGGTTATGTAGAATATCTTCTGTGTTCTTCTCAGTTTTGATCAATAAAGCTTCCATGAGACAACTACACTGCTTAATTCGATCAAAAAAGCAAGAAAGAAGAGGATAGCAGTAGTTTTGTTTGTAAAAGATTAGGCATCGAAGATACTTGAGAAGATATAAATTAATGAAATAAAAGTATCGTGAGAAGTTATGAAGCTTAGAACCTGGGGAAAGACAAAGAATAGATTCACTTGTACTATTGCAGACGATTATGAACCATGTCACTGAATAATTGGACAAGTTTTCCATCCTGTTGACAGTAGTGAAGAAACTATCCCGTGTTATGCACCGCAACATATAATTACAGTTACCAATCTACGTATTTATTAGTCTTGGTATTTGATTCTACTAGAATTTTTCTCAAAGGGATAACTAGCAAGTACGCGGTATTATTGAATATGAATACAGTGATCTTGAGTACTGTTAGAGGCATGAGGGTGTTTATAACTTCCCGGTTGCCCACAACGTGGAAGGATTCTTCTAGAGGTACCTGAAAAGAAAACTGGGTTAGAGGTGGTTTTAGTCACCTGAGAGCGTGACCGCAGTGCACAAGGGACAACTGCTTGAGGTCAGTCATCACACATGACCGTTTGGTACTTTTCGCGTTAGCTCCATACTTGTTGGGACCTTACCGCCGGAGACGGATATCCGTGGGATAAGGCGAGGTGTGCATTTTTTGGGTCGACATTTTATAACCCCACCCCTCCTTGTGGAAAGGCAGCATCGCTGTTATGCTGGTTGTTTGAAGGAAACATCTTACTGTCGTCACACCCCTGTACAGTCAACAGTACGACTTCGCCCTCAGACCATGGGTTTGTTGCTTTTAGTCTTACCGCTCTTTAACTTACCTGTCTGGCATGGTGGGACCTTCAGGAACGATTGTCCCAGACAGTATAGCCCGATTGGTTCATCACGATAGGCAAGCCCAACCGAAACGTCAAGATAGCAGCAACGGTCACAAACATCGAAGGTGAGATATTCGTCTATCAATTAAGGGACGAGTATACTGCGCAGCAGTTCGTTCCGTTCTACTATACGGCTGCGAAACATGGCCTTTAAGAGTAGAAGATACTCGTAAGTTACTAGTATTTGATCACCGATGTTTTAGAAATATTGCTCGCATCTGCTGGGATCACCGGGGTAAAAAATAGTGAGGTTAGACGCAGGGTATTAGGGAATGATGGTAAATCAGTTGATGAGGTTGTCAATCTTCATCGACTGAGATGGTTGGGCCATGTGTTGTATATGCCTGAACACCGATTACCACGACGTGCAATGTTAATCGGTGTTGAGCATGGTTGGAAGAAAGTTAGGGGCGGACAAACCAAAACGTGGCATCAGTGCTTGAAGTCACTAACTTCTGGTCTTAGCCATGTTGGTAGATACAGACTACTTGGTTTAGGTCCGCGTGACTATCATAACCAATAGTTGGAGACTTTTGGTGACATGGCTCAGAATCTATCACAATGACGTAGGTGTATACACTCTTTGTCTACCCCTTAAACGATGAGATTAAAATTGCTTTATATCTTTCTTTCTACTGAATAATTCTTCCTCTCTGTATCATATCCTTATATGAAATCATCCTTTTATATATTACTGCCACCGAATTAACTACTTCTATGAATACGGTGTTCATCTTGTTGTGCTAATGAGGTATGACAACTTGGACCGATGCATATAACTTATGTCAGTCGATTAAAGTAGGTTAAAAGCCATATTCGGATAGATAACATATCCCTTCATACCATAGTCAACTTCATATAAGCTATCTTATATCCCTTTTAATAGAACCATTATCTCCGAGACTCGTTTTTCGCAACTGGTCATAAAAATGTCTGAGTGCAGTAGGGTCAATAACATATGTAAAGTGGACATCTTCAGGTTAAACACCGGTCTACGCAAGGCAGGCAACAGATAATTGCATCTGTCCCAAACGACTGTTGTCTTATATCAAGAGAAAAGTAAGACGAAATGATGGGGTTTATTAGCCACAATAATACGAGAACTAAGTTGCAGCTGAATCAGACCTATTTCTACGGAAACCACAGCTACACTATATCTTCTCTTAAATTTGTCTCTGTAATTCCGTACGATGGTGACAATCATTTTAAGTACAGTAGTGTCAAAGGAGATTCTACGTTATTCTCTACACGCTTTAGAATGACCTATGAACAAACTGTTGGTCACAGGCTACCATGTAACTGCGTCTTATGACGTTGCTTCACTGCCTTGTGGATTAGACCTACAGGTCGAAGGCTTCGGGTGTGGCTCCCTAGGAAGACCACCTGGTTCGGTTTGGGCACCTAGGCAGTATTACAACACACACAGAGATCGAATGACTTGTGTGGCACATATGCATTCCGTGCCCCCTTGTACCAATATTTATGTGTTCAAATAAATAAATAAATGGTAGGTCGTAGAAAAGAAGTAAGAACAGATTTCAAGTGTTCGACCTAGAAACCACTACTTAGTGGAGTGCCTCAAGGTTCCGTCCTAGATCTTTTACTTTTTATAATGGATGTAAATGAACTCCCAAGTATAGTTGAGTCTGCAATGTTACTATACGCTGATGTAAAAATCCAGAAATAACAGGAGACAAATATACATGAGCACTTCAGGAAGACTTAGAGACTCTGATTGGCTGATCTAAAAAATGACTGATGCCTATTGACGCAGACAATTGTGTCTACATGCACTCTGACGATACAAAGTTAAATAAGTACAACGTAAGGGAGGTGCCTGTACCCACGGCCCGGTCTCGCAAGGGTCTATGGGTGACAATGAGTCACGATCTCAAGACCACGCCATACTGCCGCGAGGTTGCAGCTAAGGGATTCAGAACCCTATGGACTTTAAGACGGACATTAATTAAGTTAGGTACTGCTACGTTCACTACAGTACACACAATCTTGGTGAAAACTAAACTTGAAAGGCGCGCTCAAGCTGGAAGCCGCTGCTTAAAAGGTGACTCGGATACCCTGAAAGAAGTACAGAGGGCAGCTACCTGTGCAATTCCAGAGCTCCGAGGTTTCCCATATAAAGAGCGGTAGGAAAGGCTAGACCTCCACTCAGTCCTACCGCAGATCTGATTTGGACGTATAAAATACTGGGAAATGAATTCGGACCTACCATATCCTCTTTTTCTTCCTACCGGATCGAGACAACTCAGAAGACATAGCATGCAAGTAGAAAAGCCAAGAACAAACGAAATACCCAAGGCATACAGGTTTTTACACCAAGACATCAATTCTTGGAAACTGTTACCCGAAGCAGAGGTGTCCGCACCTCCAATTGACTC